CTGCACTACAGTTCCCATCAGCCGGCTCCCTCGGCTGCCGCGTCCTGGGGCTGGAGGTTGTAGTCCGTCCTCCCGAGGGGCGGCCCAGGAGTGCGTCCTCCGGGTGACCTTCTGACTGATCCCACAGCTACCACCTGGTCGGGATCAGCTTCTTCATCCTGGGACTGGGCACCCTCCTTCCCTGGAACTTCTTCATCACCGCCATCCCGGTGAGGCTCGAGGCAGACTGACAGCCCACAGCCACAGCCACCCTCTCATCCCTCGGCCCTGGACTGAGGCTCACCAGGCGCGTTCCCCACCACGCCGCCTTTGACTCCTTTGGCTGAAGCGAGGAGCCTCAAGAGGGAAATGTCTTTCTCCTGGCCAGGAAAACCCGCTTCTCAGAGGGGCAAGGCCAGCCCCTCAGGGGGTCTGTGACCCACAAAGGATCTACCCACCCACCTCCTCAGTTTGTCATTATTACTGGGCCAGTCACTCCAAAAGTGATTTATGCAAGTCTTTGTTTTCTTTGCAATAGCATGATTCATTCATTCATTTATTCATTCAACAAACATTTAATGTGCAACTGCTTTGGACCAGGCACTGGGGATATGGAGAAACCATAACAGAGGGAAGTTAGACACCCATCCACCCTTTTCAAGAAACTTAACCTTCCTTACTCAGGAAGGGCTACGAAAAGGCAGAAGTGTAAATTGTGCATTATCTTTGGGACTAGATTATTTATATGTATGGACAACTTTCCAGATGTCTCTGGATTGCCTGGCTCTGTGCTGGGCCCTGGAAACCCAAAGATCTTAATAATGTAACATGGCAGCTGGATGTAGTGGCACAGGCCTACAGAGGCTAAGGTGGGAAGGTTGAAAGTTCATGCCCAGCCTAGGCAACTTAGTGAAATCCTGTCTCAGAATTTTAAAATAATAAATTTTTAAAGGACTGGGATATAGATCAGTTCAAGTGCCCTGGGTTCATTCACCAGTTCAGGAGTTGGGGGGTGGAGGGGAGAACATGACATTTGCTATCCCTTGGGTTCAGAGAGTGCTATGGGTCCCTAGGAGAACATTCTGGTTCATAAAAGAGATGTGGGGTAGGAGATGTGATTTTGGTTTGGTTTTGAGTTTTTGAGACAGGGCTTGCTGTGTTGTCGAGGCTGGCTTTGAACTCACTATGCAGCCCATGTTAACCTCAAATTTGCAGTCCTCCTGCCTCAGCTTCCCCAACACTGGGATTAAGAGCATGCACTTCTCTTGTAGAAGAGATTTAGATTCGCAAATTGAGAGTAGGGTGGGCCAAGTATATGTGGGGACTAGGAGGGTGGCAGGAGGGGAGAGGACATTCCAGGTGAAGGCAAAAGACTATTCAGAAAAGGCACCAAATCCTGGAGTACCTAAAGTTTAGCAGAACAAAACAAAGGACAGAGCATAAAAGAGAGGCTGGGCTCTGATTCTGAAATTCTCAAATGTTGTTCCGAAAACCTGGGGTTTATCGGGTGCAGTGGTACACACATGTACTCCCAGTTACTGAGGCAGAGGATTGCAAGTTCCAGGCCAGTCTCAGCAACTTATCAAGGGCCTGTCTCAAAGCAAAACCAAAAAAAAAAAGAAAGGGATAAAGGGCTGGGGGCACTGCTTAGTGGCATAGCACTTACTTAGCATGCACACAGCCCTGGGTCCAATTCCTACTACTGTAAAATAAAATAAAAAACCCTTGGGCCCTGCCTTGCAAGCAATAATAGAGAGGTATGGGTGGAAGGTGGGAAAGGGCTAAACAGCAAAACAGGTTGTGTTCCAAAAAGAATGCAGTGGGCCAGCACCTAACCCAGAATGTGGCTTACAGTGGTGTTCTTAAATCCCCATGGAATGCAAAACCCAGAGGCTCTGTAGGAGTGAGGATGGGGGCTGCAGCCAGGGCCCTAAAGAGAAGGGGTATAGCAAGGCCCAAGCAGGGAGGTTCCTTGAGCTTGGACTCTGTCCCAGACTTCCACCAATCAATTCAGTGCACATCCAGAGAGCTCTGACTGTGTGCCAGGGGCTGGGGACAGTACAAGGACAAAGCACCAAAAGCCAAGAAATCACAAGCATGGGGGAGGGGCATGATGGGGGATTCCTCACGCTACACTGGCTCCCCCTCTGACAGTACTTCCAGACGCGCCTGGCCGGGGTCAACAGCACAGCCGAGACCCTGAGCTCCAACCACACAGGCCCCACAGACACCTTCAGCTTCAACAACTGGGTGACGCTGCTGTCCCAGCTGCCCCTGCTACTCTTCACCCTCCTCAACTCCTTCCTGTACCAGTGGTGAGACCCTGCCCCAGGCCATCCACTCCCTGCCCTTGGCAGAACCTCTTGCTTGCCTGGCCCAGGCCTCTCAGATGCCCTCTGCCCCCTTCCAAGCAGCATCCCTGAGGCGGTGCGCATTCTGGGCAGCCTGCTGGCCATACTACTGCTCTTTGCCCTGACAGCAGTGTTGGTCAAAGTGGACGTGAGCCCTGGACCCTTCTTTTCCATCACCATGGCCTCTGTCTGGTTCATCAACTGTGAGTACTTCTTCCCTCCTTCCCCAGTCCCTTCCCTTGGAACTCACAGGGCCCAGGAAAGGAGACCAGCACTATCACCCAGATCCCTGATGAAGAAACTGAGGCCCAGAAGGACTGGAAAAGTCACCTGCCCCAGGCCCCACAGTGACCTAGGAGCAGCCTCCTGGCCCCTACCTCTATAGACCAAGGACTAAACCTCAGAAGAAGAAGGAATGTGGGGTATAACATCAGAATGCCCAGAGTCTCCAGGAAAGTTCACCTCTGCCCGCTGAGTCCACAGTGCCTGCCAATCCCTCCAGAATGCCCCTGAGGCCACCAGCTTGAGTGGTGGCCCCATGCGTTTCTCTCCACAGCCTTCTGCGCAGTGCTGCAGGGTAGTCTCTTCGGGCAGCTGGGCACCATGCCATCCACTTACAGTACTGTCTTTCTCAGCGGCCAGGGCCTGGCTGGGATCTTCGCTGCCCTTGCCATGCTCATGTCCATGGCCAGTGAGTGGATTTGGTGGGCTGGGGTGGCCTCTGCAGTTTGGAGGAACTGAGGATGTGTAAGAGGAAGATGCCCGGGTGGAGGCAGGGGTGCTGGGTAAAAGGGTATTTGGTCTGGGTCTGGGGAGTGGGCTCTTGGGCCCTGCAATGACAGAATGACCAGGTAAGGGCTGGGTTAACTTGGCCCTGGGAGTAGGGTTCCTGGAGGTAACACCTGTGTGTGCCAGCAGGTTGAAGGAACCTACCTGAAATTCAGGTAGATGAAGTTGACCCTCTCACCTTTTACTTGCTGGGTTTATTGGACGAGACATTTAACCTCTCTGTACCATAGTTGCCCCATGTAAATGATGACTATAGCTCCCTACTCAGGTTGAAATGGGCCTGCATGCAATAAGAAAACACTTGTGGCACACAGTAAGAAAACACGGAAGATGGGAAGGGCTGTTCCCTGGGCCTGTATAAGACTCCTGCATCTGTCTGTGAAGGCAGGAGGAGAAGCTGGGAGGCAGATCTGAGAAGTGTACTGTAGGAAGTAGGACAGGAGTTAAAGGCCCCATGGGACTGGCCACCTCTCCTCTGCAGCTGAAGTTTCTGTCACAGGTGGTGTGGATGCCCAGACCTCTGCCCTGGGGTACTTCATCACACCCTGTGTGGGCATCCTCATGTCCATCGTGTGTTACCTGAGCCTGCCCCACCTGGTGAGCCTGCTATTGGCCTGGAGGCCCCACCTCGGGGCATCTCAGATAGAGCTCTGAGTCTGAGGCCCCAAGAGAGGACAGGGGAGGTAGAAGAGACTTGTGTTCAGCCCTTATTCCTCCAAAGGAGTCAGCAACCAGGGAACCCCAGCTTTCAAGCCAATAGTGTGGGGAGAGATCCAGAGAACCTCACTTTGGGCAGAGCCGACACTTCCTGATCCTTCTGCAGGAGTTTGCCCGCTACTACCTGACCAAGAAGCCCTCACAGGTCCCAGCGCAGGAACTGGAGACCAAAGCTGAGCTTCTGCAGTCTGGTAAGTCCTGGGACCTACAGGGGAGGTGAGAGTCACAGAGCTAGCATAAGCCAGCTTCCCTGGGAAGCATTCTCCTCTGTCCTCCCCCAAAGCCCCATCCCTAGGAGCCTTGTGTGAGCAGAGACAAAATATCACAAAGGGTAGTCTACAGGATTCAAGTCATGGCTGCTGCCCTTTAGGTTTGATTTGCCAGTGGTCCGCTGTTAGTGTGTTGTCACTGTTTCAGTACTAGGTTTTTGTCTGCAAAAAACTGTTGGTGCATTGTTCCTAAAGAACCTGGAGAATACCTAGAAGGAGTAGTCTCCCTATAAGCTTCTCCCTGAAGTCAGGAGAGTTGTTTCTTCTATACAGTGGAGGGGTAGTAGAGCTTCATGCGTGCATGCTCTGGATCCAAATATAGCTGAATTTAACTTGTGGGCTGGGGATTTAGCTCAGTGGTACTGTCACCTGCCTCATAAGTGCAAGGTCCTGAGTTCAATCCCGGTACAAAAAAAAAAAAAAAAAAAAAAAC